CCTGAGTTTTGCTCTGTTTATAAATAAATATATGTAGGCTGACTAATTTTGTACCTTTCAGTTATTCTCAGTCAATTTTCTGTGGGGTCATTTCTACTCTATGCAGTTTTGGATTACCATGCTGCATGGGGGGGGTATATGTGTGTGTGTGTGTGTGTGTGTGTGTGTGTGTGTGTGTGTATAGATAGATAGATAGATAGATAGATAGATAGATAGATAGATATTTTTAGTATTTTATTTTGGCCAGCTCTCTTTTCGTCTAAATCCTTTTATTTATTTATTTTTTTCAATGATCTGTTCTATCTCCTACAGAAAATTAATTTTGGAAGTGACCTTTCCTGTCCAAGTCCACAGGGTATTTCTGTCCTTTTCTTGTGCTTTTTTCTTCTTCTTTTTTAAATAGAATCTACGTTTTGTGTTATTTATTCTGTGTATTCACTCTTGAAAGTGGAAAAATACAACAGGGCCAGTGGCAGTCCCTGACATTGTGCGCTGCGTGGCCGCTGTCAGCAGTAACGCTAGAGGGCAGGTTGATGCGCAAGGCCCTAACACAGTTTTCAATGCCCAGGAGGCATTTATCTAGTGTCAATCTGTTGGAATAACAGATTGGCATCTTCTCTCCTGGCTTCCTGAATTGGTGAAATATAGTATATGTTCTAAAATCTCTAAAGTAGATTTTATGAAAAAATTAGTACTACCACTTTATATCCATAAGGCACCATTTTCAGGATTCTTTCATTCCTTTTCTATCTTTGGCCGTGATAGATATGAGAAGTTAAAGATTCAGAATGAATATAGATAAGCAATGAATAACCAAGAGCTCATCCTATATGGCCTATCTAATTTTAAGGATCCTCCATACCCCTCTGTGGTATGGAGGATCCTTAAAAAATTAAAAATAGAACCACCATATGATCCAGCAATTCCAGTTTTGGGTATTTATCTGAAGAAAATGAAAACACTAGTTCAAAAAGATATATGTGCCCCCATGTTCACTGCAGCATTATTTACAATAGCCAAGATATAGAAACAATGAAAGTATCCATTGATGGTTGAATGGACACACATGGACACATACACAGAGACACACAGCCACACACACACACACACACACATACACACAGCCAAACACATACACACACGCACTGGAATATTATTCAGCCATTAAAAAGAATGAAATCTTGCCATTTGCCACAACATGGATGGACCTTTAAGGGCATTGTGCTAAGTGAAATAAGCCAGACAGGAAAAGACAAATACCATATGATCTCACTTATATGTGGCATTTACAAACAAAAACAAAAACAAGCTTGTATATATAGAGTACAGATCGGTGGTTGCCAGGGGTGGCTGGTTGGGGCGGATGAAATGGGTGAATGGGGTCAAAAAGTACAAACTTCCAGTTATAAAATTAGTAAGTCATGGAGGTGTAATAAAAAAATAATATAAGATAATTAAACTGGCTTTAACAAATAAATATAATGTATCTTCGCTTTCCCAAAACATTTGGCAAAATTTTTCTCGATATCTTCATGAGCGAAATGGAAAAATATGAGTGAAATGATATGACTAGGTAAATTCACAGTTAAACAAAAAAAGAAAAGAACTCTCTTAATTTACAGATATAACAAATGATACCCAGATAAAGGTGATAATTTCTGAATCATAATGATCAGTTACCAACTTAGAACTGGATAAGTACCATGTGTTTATTTAGCAAGTAGTGTTGAGTACCCATTGGTGCATTTCTTAAATAACAGGTGGAGTAAATGATGTGATTGGGGTGGGTGCACATGGAATGACCAGCCTAGTTTCTCAAATTGTAGAAAGGATAGCCTCCGAGTTTGAAGGGTATGGGGGTAGGTGTTTATCCTGGGAGTAGGGTGTGCCTGGCCATGGTCTGAAGAGAACAGTGCAGTCAATAGAGTTTCACATTAATTTGAAGGGGATCTGGGGGCTCGAACTGCATAGTTTGAGAGTGTGGGATTTGGTTTCCCTCGACTGAAGAATAATGAACCTATGAAATTTTAAAACATTAAACTAATTTTATATTATAGTTATTCCAATAACTAGGTACATTAAAATATAAAAATAATGAAGTTAAAAAAGGAATACTGAATTGGAGGCATTATATATAACATGTGTTAATTCCTTCTGTTATATAATCCCATTGTCCCTAAAATGTTTGCTTTCTCCACTTAATAATAAACTCCAAAGAGCAGAGATTGTGTCATGACTCTATCCCTAGTACTTAGCAAGATGCCTGTGATTAGTAATTACTAAGCTTATTCAATAAGTAAGTGAATGAATAAATTCAAAACAATAGGCAAATGAAAAATTGGAAGACAGCGAATCAAGAAATGCTGGCTATTTTATTAACATGGATATCCTGAATACATTTGTAATTTTACTAGAATTAGCATTAAAATTCACTTGTTACATTGAGAACTGAGCAGAGCAATAGGTAATAGACAAAAATCATGTCATGTCATATATATAGCATACTGTAATTTGTATTGTTTTGATGTCAGAGAGTACATATTTAGTTGAAATTCCCGCAGCTGGCTATCTTTTGTTTAGTGCTACCTGAAAAAAAATAACAATTACGCAAATGCTTTTAGCCTTTAAAAGAATTTTTAATGCTAAATATTTGAACACTGAATATTTAACATTCAAAGAATAAATTTATGCATTTAAAAAAATGTATAAGTGACTCAAGGAGCCAGAAATATCTATGACAATTAAGAAAAAAATTGTATCTCAATTATTATGCCTTTCTCTATAGTGAAATAATTCATTAACTATGTCATGGAACTTTTTGTAATAATTGCAGCTAAACATTGTAGGGTACCTCACTTATACTAGGCCCTGTGCAGGGTGATCTGCATACCGTTAATCCTCACAACAACCCTAAGAGGAAGATGTTATTATCCTCATTTACAGATAAGAACACAGAGCCTTAGAGAGATCACACACTGTGCCCAAGACCACCCAAGTTCAAAGCAACAGATTGCTTGCTCTGCGCAACTATCCAGTGATTGTTTCAGCACCCACCCCACCTCTACATTGCATAAACTTTGAAGTACACTCTGCTTTTATTTATTTATGTTTAGGCATGATTATTAAAGGAAAACTTAATATGTCCTTATAATTTTATTTTTGAGCTTTATAAAGGGACAAGACACAATGTTCTTTCGATGCTCTCTTTTTTGTACCTAACACCACCCACTGAGATTCACAGTGCGGTCGTCACATACTTAAACTTGAGTGCTCTGCCAACTTTCTGTGTCAGCTTTAGAGGCTGACTGGGGACCTTTAACATGCTTTTCAAATGTATCTTTACCCTGAAAGTGGACAAGTTTCCCCTCACACTTACCCTCCCCATATTAGGAAGTTGAGGCATCCCTATCGAAAACAACATCCCTACTGAAAACATGAAATGCTTTTTTAAGTTTTCTGTTTAGCATCAAAATTTATACCAACAGTTTGATTTCTACTTGACAACATATATATAGCCCATTGGAATTCTTGATCACAAATGATACTGAAGGAATTTATTGGAAGGGTATAAGGTAACTCACAGATCTGACAGAAATCCTAGGGAACCAGATTTAGGAAGTAGTTATCTAAGGGATGAGGGATTATCCTCATTATGGCCAAGGTTATACCACAAGAATAGCTGGGTTAGAGTGCTGCTGTCAACTGATGTGTATATCTGAGTATACATATTTATGTATAATATTCTTCATTGACTAATTGCACCATTATTAAAAAGAAAAATATTAGGAGAGATAGAATTAACCCAAAAGTCCATCAATAGGGTATTGGTAAAATAAATTATAATAATTTAATAATAAGAACTTGCCAAATAATAATTATACAATGTATCTGTATAATAGAATACTATATTGCTATTAAAACACTGTAAATCTAAACATGCACTTACAGAACAATATTCAAAATATAAAGAGTGGGGAAAAGTTGAAAAATATTATATTTAGTACTATTTTATTTTTGTGTGAAAAATATGCAGCGTCATTATCATTTCTGTGTAAAAAATATGCAGCGTCATTATCATTTCTATCTTTAGTCAAAATACCTAATTTTATCTGCTTATTCTCTAAAAGTACTCCTTTTCTCATTCTTGCATAATATGTAAAAAATATATATATTTATAAAAAGTCAGGAGGAATATATACCAAACTGATAATAGTTGTCACCTCTGGGTAATTGGTCAATGGGAACTTTTGATTTATTACATCATACTTCTGTAATTCTTGAAATATTTTTGCTACTAAACGTAAAGTAAATGAATATTCCTCTACTATCTGGAGGCTTCAATTATGAGATTTTTTTCCCTAGTACTTACATTTTTAGTGTAGATAGGGTGATGATAGTCATATTTGGCTTTTCTGCTCTACGTAAATAGATGTTCTCAAAAACAAGAATTGGTTCTTCTTTCTCCTTCCCCCTTACCTTTCACCATGGTAGTCCTAATTTCATCAGTGAAAATGGTTCTGAATATTTGAAGAGTAAATAAAGAACAGATTCTAAATAATTTTACATTGCAATTTTGTGATTGCTGTGGAGTAGCATGCTTTTAAATATTGCTTTACCACAGTATGTGCATCTTAATGCCCCTCTAGTTTTATTTGTTTTATTTTATCTATTATCATCAGCAGCAGCGTCATTATCATTTCTATCTTTAGTCAAAATACCTAATTTTATCTGCTTATTCTCTAAAAGTACTCCTTTTCTCATTCTTGCATAATTCTTATTTTTCTATTGTAGTAAAAATTTTTAACTTCGAGGAAACACTTTATAGGTAATGTTTTAAAAATATTTTGTGTGTATTTAAATTTGGCATAAAACAATGAAACTCATTTTAGTTTGATTTTAATGTTTCTAATTACTGAATGAGGTTATTGAAAACTTACGACAATTTAGTGTAATTTAATCATGTTAAGAGTTAAATTCATAATTTTTGTTGTTTGTTTTAGCATTCCATATTGGAAGAAGATATTTCTATAGATGAAAAAATGCCTTTGTTTAGTAAATCACAGAAAAATCCAGCAGAAATCGTGAAAATTCTGAAAGACAACTTAGCCATTTTGGAAAAGCAAGACAAAAAGACAGACAAGGTATGAGCTAAAATAGTAACATTATTATTAAAATACATGTATTCCAAGACCAGAAACCAACATAAAAGCTTAATGAAGAACTCCAAATATGATCTGTGATGGGGCACATAGGGTCTCCAGAAATATATTTCAATTGATTTCATGTTTTATGCAACTGATAATTGTCTAGTCTATTGTCTTGAACTCTTGATTCATTATCCAGAGCCTCTGACCGAACTTGGATCCCTCTAGATGAAGTAGCTTAAAAATCTAAGGGATTATACTGGTATATTATATTGGCATGAAGGGTAAAAAGTTTTTATTTAAAGATCAACTGTGGTAGATAGTTTCTACTGCAGTGAAACTTCATTTTAATATTGTTTTAAGGTCCTACCAAGCAGAGCTTCTTTGTAGGAAGGGCTTTTTGGTATTTTAGTTATTCCCTTGAAGAGATGTTGAATCCTACATATTCGATTTCTCTCTAAAGTGACTAGTTTATGGCAAGATTCAAGATATCTATAAAATAAATACCCTTGAGTGCATAGTATATTTCTGTCCCAGTGTATGATACAATCTTGTGTTCTTATAAGGATGTAGAAATATATTTTGCATCCTACACCTTGTAAGTTATATAGAAACATATTTTTCATTCTAGTGTACTTCATAATAACAATCTCAATATTGGTCCAAATAGAAAAAAGAAATGACCTTCATAAAAAAGTAAATCTAAATGACGAAAAAGAGAAAAAAAATTTGAAAAATATAAAAAGATACTCATCTTTATTAGTAATCAGGAAAAGACCAGTTAAAACCACATTATACTCATATTACACATGTTGTACTGCGGCAAAAATGAAAAGTGTCTGATGGTATTAAGTGTTAACAAGTATGAAAAGCAATAATTTTTATTTGCTGTGAGCGATCAAGTATAAATTGGGTTTTGGGAACCAGTTTAGTATATCATCTATTATGTAGGAAGGTTTACATGTTCTAAAACCTGCAATTTTGTTGCTAGGTATAAAATCTAGAGATGTTCTTGAACATGTGCCCAGGATGCATGTATAGGAATGTTCATAGTGTTGTGTTGTTCATAGTAACCCCTCAGTAGGAACAACCCAAATGTCCATCAACAGTAGAACTAATAATGAAGTTGTCCCTCCATCAACGGAATACTACAGAGCAATGAAAACTAAGAACTCCTGCCTACACGCAACACAAGTAGTGTTGAGTGAAAGAAGCAAATTATGAAAGGCTATAGGTTACTGTTCCAAATCAGCAGAACTAGACTTTATTATTTTGGGATGCAAACATAGGTAAGAAAACTACAAAGAAAAATAAACAAACAAACAAACAAACAAACAAATAAATAAATAAATGTCATCAAAGACATAAAAGTCTTTACTTCAAAGGTGAAAAGTAACTTCAGGTAACTTCTAGGGTGCTAAAATGATGTTTCTTGACATGTGTTGTGCTCACACAAGTGTTTGCTTAATTATCATTATCTATTTAAAGTACTCTTCTGTGGATAAATTAAGAAACTCCCAGCCTTTAATAAATTAAGGATTGCTTCACTCAGATCATAAAATGTATCTGGAAATTTTTTTTTTATAGTGTCACACTACTATAAATTATTTTTAATTATTTTACCTTATCCTCCTATTCCTTCCTTCAATTATAATGATTAAAATAAAACTATGGTATATTTCTTTTAACATAGTCAACAAATCAAATTGTTAACTAATTGGCCTGTTCTCCTATCCTCTCCTGTATTAATTTAAAATAATTTTTAATAGAGATATAATCCATATGCCATATAATCCACCATTTTAAAGTAGATAATTCAGTGGTTTTTAGTATAGTCATGAGGTTGTGCAGCCATCACCACTAATTCCAGAACATTTTCATTGCCCCATAAAGAAACACTGTACCATTAGCAGTCATTTCTCTTACTCCCTCCCCAAGCCCTAGCACTACTCTACTTTCTACTTCTATGGATTTTCCTATTATTCTTTAAATGTAGTCTGGGATTTTTTTTTTTTAAGCTTCATAAATAGCAAAAAACGATAATGACTATGTATGAGGGAAAAGTGGATTGACAAAGAAAGTTTATGGGTCTTTACAAGTCATGATTTTATACCAAGTTTATTAAAACATCAGAAGAATAGGGATTTGTTGAAAAATCTTAGCAAATGCTTTAAATAAAGACTAGTAGCTACTGACAAGTCTTTAAAATGGAGTCATTTAATTTTCTTTCAAAGTTAAATTTAGAATTAATTACTAGCAAAGTTAACTGTGTTTGAGTACAGTTTAAGGGAAGATAATTGTTTCAATTATATTAACTAAATAGAAATATTAGAGATATTTTAAGTAAATAAATTTTAGTACCTACTAAGTGGTTTTTGTTTATTTATAACTCCACGGTGTTCTTTGATCATAAACAAGGCCTAGAAAATAGTGTTTATTTGTTTGTTTATAGCTTGAAAATTTTTATTCCTTTAAGTCTTAGCATACTTTTTGGTCACTAGGCTTCAGAAGAAGTGTCGAAATCACTGCAAGCAATGAAAGAAATTCTGTGTGGTACAAATGACAAGGAACCCCCAACAGAGGCTATGGCTCAGCTAGCACAGGAACTCTACAATAGCGGGCTGCTGGTGACACTGATAGCTGACCTACAGCTAATAGACTTTGAGGTAAATTATTCATAAAAGTATTATATCTCTGCTTTTCAATTTTAATATATATGACTATCAATATTTGACTTTAATTTCTATTACCGTTCATTATTTAAAAACCCACTTTTTTCTAAAACTTCTAAAATCACTTTAATCTTTAAAATTTTTTAAAATAATTTATAAAAATTTTTTCAATTGCAGTTGATATACAATATTATATTAGTTTCAAGTGTACAACATAGTGATTAGACATTTATATCTTATAAAGTTACCACCCCAGTAAGTCTAGTACCCATCCGATACCACACATAGTTATTATATTACTGACTATATTCCCCATGTTATACTTTACATCCCCGTGACTGTTTTTATGACTGGCAATTTGTACATCTTAATCCCTTCCCCTTTTTCACTAACTCCCCTACTTCCCCTCCTATATAGCAACCATCAATTTGTTCTCTGTATCTATGAATTTGTTTTTGTTTTGTTTGTTCATTTATTTTTTTAAAAATCCACATACAAATGAAATTATATGGTATTTGTCTTTCTCTGTCTTACTTATTTCACTGAGCATTATGCCCTCCAGGTACAGCCATGTTGTTGCATATGGCAAGATTTCATTCTTTTTTTATGGCTGAGTAACATTTTCATTGTATATATGTACAATGCACATAGGTTGTTTTCATATCTTAGCTATTGTAAATAATGTTGCAGTGAACATAGGAGTGTGTATATCTTTTCAAATTAGTGTTTTGGATTTATTCAGATAAATATCTAGAAATGGAATTGCTGAGTCATAAGGTAGTTCTGTTTTTAATTTTTTGAGGAACCTCCATACTGTTTTCCATAGCGGCTGCACCAGTTTACAATTCCACCACCAACAGTGCACAAAGGTTCCCTTTTCTCTACACCCTCGCCAACACTTGTTTTCTTGATTTATTGATGATAGCCATTCTGAAAGGTGTGAGAGGATGTCTCATTGTGGCTTAAATTTGCATTTCCCTGTTGATTAGTTATGTTGAGCATTTTTTTATGTCTATTGACCATCTGTATGTCCTTTTTCAAGAAATGTCTATTCAGGTGATCTGCCCATTTTTAAAACGGATTGTTTGTTTTTTCAGTGTTCAAAATATATAATGAGTTCTTTATATATTTTGGATATTAACCCCTTATAGAATGTATCGTTGGCAAATATCTTCTCCCACTGAGTAAGTTGTCCTTTTGTTTCGCTGACAGTTTCCTTCATTGTGCAAAAACCCTTTAGTTCTGTGTAGTACCATTTGTTTATTTTTTGTTTTGTTTCCTTCGTCCAAGGAGATATATCCAAAAAAAATATTACTAAGAGCAGTGACAAAGAGTTTTCCACCTCTGGTTTTGGGAGTTTTGTGGTTTGGGGTTTTACATTTAAGTCTTTTTTTTTTTTTTTTTTTTTTTAGGCGGGGCAACCTTTGTTTGCCCCCACAGATTGCAAGGACCTTGTCAGTTTACAATCCGTTATTTTTTTTATTTTTTATTTACTCCTACAGCACCCGGCCAAGTACTAACCTGGCCTGACCCTGCTTAGCTTCCAGTATCAGATGGGATCAGGCTTGTTCAAGGTGGCATGGCCATAGACACATTTAAGTCTTTAATACATTTTGAGTTATTTTTGTGTCTATTGGTCCAGTTTTATTTTTTTGCATGTATCCATCCAGTTTTCTCAACACTATTTATTGAAGAGGCTGTTTTTACCCCCACCGTATATTCTTTCCTTTGTCATAGATTAGTTGACCATATGAGTGATTTATTTCTGTGCTTTCTGTTCCGTTCCATTGATCAATATGTCTGTTTTTATGCCAGTACCATTCTATTTCAATTACTGTGGCTTATAGTGCAGTTTGAAATTAGGTAGCCTAACTCCAACTTTCTTTTTCTTTCTCAAGATTGCTGTGGATTTTTAGGGTCTTTTGTGGTTCCGTATAAATTTTAGGATTATTTGTTCTAGTTCTGTTAAAAATGCCATTGATATTTTGATAGAGATTGCATTGAATTTGTAGACTGCTTTGCATAGTAGGGACATTTTAACAATGTTAATTCTTCATATTCATGAGCATGGTACATGCTTCCATTTATTTGTGTCTTCATCAATTTCTTTCTTCAATGTCTTATAGTTTTCTGATTACAGGTCTTTTACCTCCTTGGTTAAATTTATTCCTAGGTAGTTTATTCTTTTTGACGTGTAAATGGGATTATTTTCTCAATTTCTCTTTCTGGTAGTTTGTTATTGGTAATTAAAAATGCAATTAATTTCTGAGTATTAATTTTGTATCTTGTTACTTTACTGGATTCATTTATCAGTTCTAATAGTTTTTTGGTACAATCTTTGAGTTCTCTATATATAGTATCATGTCATCTGCAAATAATGAGTTTTATTTCTTCCTTTCCAATACGGATGCCTTTTCTTTCTTTTTCTTTTCTGATTGCTGTGGCTAGGACTTCCAATTCTATGTTGAATAAGAGTGGTGAAAGGAGACATCCTTGTCTTGTTTCTGATCTTAAGGAAAATGCTTTTAGCTTTTCCCCAGTGAATATGATGTTAGCTGTGGGTTTATCATTTATGGCCTTTATTATGTCGAGGTACGTTTCCTCTTGCCTCACTTTGCTGAGAATTTTTATGATTAGATGTTGGATTTTGTCACATGCCTTTTCTGCATCTATTGATATGATTATATGATTTTTATCCTTCATTTTATTGATGTATCACGTTAATTGATTTGTGGATATTGAAATAGTCTCAGATCCTTGGAATAAATACCACTTGATCATGATATTGACATTTTTGATGCATTGCTGAATTTGGTTTGCTAATATCTGTTGAGGATTTTTGCATCTGTATTCATGAGGGATATTTGTCTATAGTTTTTTTGGTTTTTGTTTTTCTCCTTGTAGTGTCTTTGTCTAGTTTTAGAATCAGGGTAATGCTGGCCTTATAAAATGAATTTGAGAGCCTTCCTTTATCTTCAATTTTTTGGAATAGTTTGAGAAGAATAGGTATTAATTTTTCTTTAGATATTTGGTAAAATTGGTCCAGGGCTTTTGTTTGTTGGAAGTTTTTGAATACTCATTCGACTTCGTCAGTAGTTACTGGTGTGTTCAGATTTCTCTTTCTTCCTGATTCAGTCTTGAAAGATTGTATGTTTCTAGGAATTTATCTGTTTCTTCCAAATTGTCCAATTTGTTGGCATATAATTGTTCACAGTATTTCATTAGGATCTTTTGTATTTCTGTGGATTCAGTTTTCCCTTCTGATTTTATTTATTTGGACCCTTTTTTTGTTTCTTGATGAGTGTGGCTAAAGGTTTATCAGTTTTGTTTATCTTTACATAGAATCAGTTCTTGGTTTCACTGATCTTTTCTATTGTTTGTTTGACTCTTATTTTATTTATTTCCACTCTGATCTTTATTATTTCCTTTGTTCTACTCATTTGGGGCTTTATTAGTTCTTCTTTTTTTAGTTTTTTAGATGTAAGTTTAGATTGTTTATTTGAGATTTTTCTTGTTTCTTGAGGTAGAACTGTATTGCTGTAAATTTCCTTCTTAGAACTGCTTTGGCTGTGTTTCATAGATTTTGGATCATTGTGTTTTCATTTTCATTGGTCTCAAGGTATCTTCTGATTTCTTCCTTGATCTAATCGTTAACCTATTCAGTTTTTAGTAGCAAGTTAGTTAGTCTCCATGTGTTTGTGTGGTTTTAGTTTTCTTCTTGTAATTGATATCTAGTTTCTTAACATTGTGATCAGAGAAGATGCTTGATATGATTTCAGTCATCTTATATTTATTGAGATTTGTTCTGTGGCCTAACATATGGTCTATTCTAGAAAGTGATTTATGTGCACTTTAGAAAAATGTGTATGCTGCTATTTTGGGGTATAATGTCCTAAAAATATCAATTAAGTTCATCTGCTCTAATGTGTCATTTGAGGCTACTGTTTCCTTGTTGATTTTCTGTCTGGATGATCTATCCATTGATGTCAATGGGATGATAGAGTCCCCTACTATGACTGTATTACTGTCGATCTCTCCTTTTATGTCCATCAATATTTTCTTTCTATATATAGATGCTCATACATTGGGTATAGATGTTTATGAGCATTATGTCCTCTTGTTGGATTGATCACTTTATCATTATGAAATGCCCTTCTTTGTCCCTTGATACAAACCTTGTTTTAAAGTCTGTTTTGTCTCATGTAAGTATTGTTACTCTACCTTTTTTTCATTACCATTGAGATGAAACATGTTTTTCCATCTCTACTTTCAATCCAAGTATGTCCTTCTATCTGAAGTGAATCTCTTATAGGCAGCATCTGTATGAGTCTTTAAAAATTCATTCCTTGTTGCCATTTTCTTTTTGATTGGAGCATTTACATTTAAAGTAATTATTTAGTCCATTTACATTTAAAGTAATTATTGATAAGTAGGTAGTTTTTGCCATTGGTGTATAAAAGTAGGTATTGTTTTCTGTATTTTTGTAGTTCTCTGTTCTTGTTATATTGTCTTGCTCTCTTGTCTTGTATGTTGATGACATTTTAGTGTTGTGTTTGGATTCCTTACTCTTTATTTCCTATATATATCTCTTGTAGATTTTTAGTTTGTGGTTACCATGTGCTTCTTATATACCAAGCTATGTTTATAGCTGTCTATTTTAAGTTGATGGTCATTAAGTTCAAACACATTCTAAAATCACTACAACTTTTACTCACCTCCTCAATGTTTATGTTTTTGTCATTATTTTTTACTTCTTTTGTGTGTGTATGTGTGTTTGTGTGTATCCCTTAATTTATTGTTGTAGTTGGTTGATGCAGTGCTTTTACTATGTGTTTGCTTTTGTCGGAGAGAATTTTTTTCTTTCCTATGTTTTCTTATTTATGTTCTTCATCTTTTCTTTTTAAAGAGATCCCTTTAACATTTCTTGTAATACTGGGTTAGTAGTGATGAACTCCTTTATAAAGGTTTGTGTGTGAAGAACTTTAACCTTTTTT